TTGCATGTATGTACTGGGGCGTATTGCGTGGAATATCATTGACAGGAAAATTTTGGACCGAGATAGATTAACACCAAAAAAAAGTGACGGTTGGCAAATTGACACGAAAAAAGGTAACGGTTGGTAAATTGACACGAAAAAATATTTCGCCGCACGTTGCCTGGCGAAGGCCAGTAGCGGCGCTGCCTCAAGTTAAAAAAAGGGAAAAAAAATCAACCCGAGCTGCACCGCTGCACCGCCGGGAAACCCAAAGGTCGCGCTCCCTCATCACCGCACCCGACACGGAGCGAGGGGATGGCGCGCCTTGCGCGAGGAAGAATCCGCTACGAGCGGTATGATGAGTGCATGCAGGTTCTACTGCTTGCTGTGTTGTGCGCGCTAGCTGGAGAGGAGGACATGTTCCTCGTGATGGCGATGTTTGGCGTAGCAAAGCTAGAGACATGTTTCCTCTCCACTGCCGAGAACTACATTCCGCGAACTATACTCTCCAAATCCCAACCGCCGCCAACGGCTTCGCGCCCCTAGTACGTGCGCCCAGAGCTACTGTCTCTTCCACCAACAACTAACTGCTGTAACCTCTTCCTTCACGGGCGGGGCACCCGACTAGCTGCTGTTGTGGTTATTATCTCCCGTGTGCTTCGAGTCCAGAGTCCAGACAGACCAACCTCGGCGNGATGTTTGGCGTAGCAAAGCTAGAGACATGTTTCCTCTCCACTGCCGAGAACTACATTCCGCGAACTATACTCTCCAAATCCCAACCGCCGCCAACGGCTTCGCGCCCCTAGTACGTGCGCCCAGAGCTACTGTCTCTTCCACCAACAACTAACTGCTGTAACCTCTTCCTTCACGGGCGGGGCACCCGACTAGCTGCTGTTGTGGTTATTATCTCCCGTGTGCTTCGAGTCCAGAGTCCAGACAGACCAACCTCGGCGTGTTTTGTCCTCGATCCTGCGATGAACGCACACGATCCTAACCGCGGCTTGGCGTTCCCCTATCGCGATGTACTCCCGGGAGCGTTGTGTTCACGTGTGTGGGTGTGCGGGAAGCTGCGTGCGAGCTTGCCGACTGAGTTGATGCCTTCGTGTGTGTGCGATGGCGCCCGTGTCAATTTTTCGTTTTCTCGTGTCAAAATACCTCAGGTGAAAATATTTGTTGGTTTTCGAAAAATTCTGACCTGTGATTCTGACATGAAAAAGGGCGGCGTAACCTCTCGTGTCAAAATTCTGACGTCTCGTGTCAAAATTCTGGTCTCGTGTAAAAATTTCGTGCTCGTGTCAAATTCCTGACACACGTGGGACCCATGTATTAGTATTGGGGCGACGCTCGGGAGAAATACCGGACAAATACCGGTATTTATTGCGGGTATGGTATATTTCAACGACTAATTTTTCTGTTGCCCTCTCCCCCGTTTGCTGTCGCGTTCAGACTGTCTCTAGGGATATCCCTGTCTCTGTGCGAGTTTGTTTGTGTCCTCGTCTTTGCTTTATTCTGTTTAATTTTGTCTTTTGTTTTGTTTTTTACTGGCACGTACCCCCGCCCCTTCCTTTGGCCGTCGACCTGCCTCCATGTAGTGGGAGGCTACCCCCCCAGGCTGGTGGTGCGGCCGTTCCACTAGTCTAATTATTTATTTTATTTTATTTTATTTGTTTCTGATTANCCGATGGACTGCCATACCTTACCGAAATGTTCGGTACGTTCGATACGGACATCAATACCTTACCGAAAATACCGGTACGTTCGGTATGGACTTCAATACCTTACCGTAGTTTTCGGTACGTTCGGCACAATACCGAGATGTTCGGTACGGTACCGGTATGAACTGTCATACCATACCGGGATGCTCGGTACGTTCGGTACGGACTTCAATACCTTACCGAAAATACCGGTACGTTCGGTATGGACTTCAACACGATGTAAATGCCTTTCTTTATGAAAATACCGGTACCGTACCAAACACACCTTTGGCAAAAACAAATATTCCCAAATCTTACCCACTTTTGTCCACTTGCGGACGACGGGAATCGAGCGGAAATCGACCTCCACGTCACGGCACGGCAGAACATCGAACAGCCTCGGAACGTCTCAGAAGCTCCCAACGTCTTATTAGGAGAAATGAATATACACACAGAAAGACTACCCGTTCGAGGTATAACTACACTCGAAGGGGATGTGTTGAAGTCTTTACAGTGAGTAGAGGAAAACCAGCTGGGTACTTGACTTATTTCGAGTTTGTTTAAGCCTATACACTGATGATTTATATCAGTGATACCAGTTGGTGCTTAGCACAAAAACATCTGCGTAGGTACATTTACATGTGGCCTGCACAGGGAACACGGCGCAATATGTCATGTTGACAGTAGTTGCTGGTTTAATTTAGAAAAATACATATATTAGGAAAAACAAATATGCACACAGAAAGACTACCCGTTAAACACATAAAAGCTCCCTGTTCGAGCGAAAATCATAGTCGTTCGAGGGGGGCTTTTTACAGCAGTATTTAGGAAAAACAAGTATACGTGCAGAAAGGCTACAGCAGTATGCAATAATGTCTTATCTATGGCATCATTTCTATTCATGACTGCCGACTGCGGACCGACCGCGGAGGAACATGTCAGAAACATGCCAGACCCCTTCGGTACCGGCACGGGAAGATACCCGCGGCAAGCCCGGCAAGCAGCGCACTACTAACGGCACACCACAAGTAAATGCATGACACACAACGGACAACAAAACCAACGGGCGCGCATGCAGAAAGAAAAGACGCGCATACAGCAACACAGAGACACACACACGCGACGCAATGAATACAATACCAATCATCACCACGAGTGCACACCGGCTCGTGAGGGAAGCAGCAGCATGTAGGTGGTTTGCCGCGCAACTACGTGATGTAAAAATGTATTCATTACACTACATACATGTATCTTGTAACACGAAGTGAGAATCCAACCCGATATCCTGCGGTCGGTCCGCAGTCGGTCCGCAGTCGGCAGCCATGGATATGGCGTTGGGATGTTCTGAGACGTTCGGAGGCTATTCGATGTTCTGCCGTGCGGTGACGTGGAGGTCGATTTCGCTCGATTTCCGCCGTCCGTAAGTGGACAAAAAAGTGGGGACAGTTTGGACGAAAGTGGGTCAAAATACATACGCAGCGGTGGGTACATGAAAAAATTAGTAGAAGCCGCTGGTACACCCACCACGATGTCGGACAGAAGTGGACATTCTGGTGAGGCCTTGCGTGCCTCGGCGTATTAGGGCCAAAGGCGTGCCTGAAAGTGGGAAATAATCGATGCCCGTGCTGTGTATGGTCCCTGGCTGTGTCGCCCAGGTGTCAGAATGGGGTATTGAGTCGTTTGGGGGTCGCCTATGGAGGGCGCGTGCGCCGGATTTTCGAGTACTCACTCTAGTTAGTCCGAGAATGGCGTGTGGGTAAAACCACTTTTGTCCATCCCTTTGCCATTCATACGCATGTTCCTTGTACACCACCAGTACAATGCACCAAAGTCTATGTTATTTGCACTTTCAGCGCGTGCGTGTCCGCCAGGCAGGGCGGCGAAACGCCGAGGGCGAAGAGGAGACAGACACATCGATTTTCTGACTGCTGTGTTGCTACAGCGATCGTCATGATCTCAACATCTCAACCACGCATGACTGGCAACCTTTTTATCATTATTTTTTTTTCAGTATAATATGCCAACGAATCCATCTAGAAAAGAGTCTGAGACAGTTTATTTAGCTGTGGATCCATCCAGCGTCAGCGAAAGTTCTATACTTCCGCGATTTCCCGAGCAGTGCACAGCGATATCTCCCCTGTGGGTAGCAGGGTCAACAAGATAGTTTGGTAGCCATCTCATGCATCTCTGCATTTTTTTTTTCTCCCATCATTGGACTGTGTCGGCTGCCCCTCTGGCCCCTATCCTCCACTTCTACTAGCTAGACGACCCAACCGGGGTCACATAGGAGGGGGGGGCTGGAACCCCTCCTGCGGTTCCTGTCTGAGGTATTTTTCTCGCGAGAAGGGTACAGCAATCCCTTCCCTGGCGACTTTCGAAGTCGATTATGGTTTACAACGAGCTGTGCAGCGCGTCGCTTTCATCCTAAATTAGACCAGGATTTATTTAGTGAGAAAAACTCACTCTGCCGGGACTCGAACCCATGACCTGGCCATTAGCAGGCTGCGAGGTTCCCCACTAGACCACTGGGGCGGCCGGCTGTATGTTATGCTGGGAAGGTGTCGAAGAAAGGTGTTGGGTAGTTGGTTCGTCGGGTGTGCTAGTGGCGCACCCTGAAGAAGCACTCATATATCTACACACGGGCGGTAAAACATTACTTTTCCCTGTTTTTCCTCGCATTGATCCGTCCTTAGCTGGCGGCGCATATTTCGACCCAAACATTTATTTGCAGTTTTCGATTGCCTAGATCGCCCCAGCTGTCTTGTAGTCGGAACGTACAGTAGTACCGCCGCCGTGTTGGGACGAGGCATCGCAAGCCTCCCTGGGCCGATTTCGTGGATAGATCTACTGCAGGTCGATTGCTCCACAACCAAGAGGCAGGCTGCCAATCAACGCCGAAAATACATGTCTCGGGAAAAATCTAGCCAAGAGTTGTTGCGTTCCACGTACAGTAGTATTCCACGTATACTGTGAATGCACTGATTCGAAACTAACTTGAGGGAGGCGGTCGATGCGACATGGAGGCCTATCGTAGCGGTCGCGAAATGTGCGAGAACGCGGCTGAAGACTTACCCTCAGCCTCATGGTTGAACAGCATCCCCTCGAACCTACTATTTAGTTGCTGGTTCGACCCCGGTGCGCTGTAGGTTTTTTTTTTAGGGCTCCAAGCTGTTGTTGTTGTTGTTGTTGTTGTTGTTGTTGTTGTTGTTGTTGTTGTTGTTGTTGTTGTTGTCTTCACATTAACCGTATGTCAGTTGCTAAATGCCAAAAAAATCTAGCAAAGACTCTCAGCCCGTGGTCACGGAAGTGCTATAATAGAGCCATCTGAGGATCTAAAAAACACGCACACATAATATCACGAGAAAAAAGTATCCAAGAGCCCGAAGAGGTACACCTAAAAATCCCTGCAGCACCGTATGCGTGCCCAAAAACTGAACTGCACGTCCGTCCCACCGTTCGACTACAGTAGCATCACCCCCTCCCTGTCCCACTCTATACCAAAACGGAAGATTGCCGACTACAGCATTCTGCTGTCTGAAGTGCTGTCTGTACAAAAAAAACACCATGGTAGGCATGGAACAAGCAGCTGGCGGGGCACAAAGCTGCTGTCTGAAGTGCTGTCAGAATGTGTGTCACGAGTCGCTAGCACGCAAGGTAGAGGTCTCAAGTGTGTAAGCAGTAAGTACGTAACAGCTCCCGTTCACGGCACGGTTCATGGTGCGAGGAAGGGGATTATTGCTCCTGACAGGTGTTCGCTCATGCAACGATGCACACACACTGACCTCTTCTTGTGCAATTGAACGACTGTACCGAGTGCGATGAGTAGTGAAGATACTCGTACCAGCTGTAGTAGCCGATGTAGTGTCGGAGCAAAGGCCTCCTTGTGGATGTTATGGTCTTATTCTTTTAGTTCAAGCTCAGGATGGTAGCTTGGTTGTGAGCAGAGGAGGGCGAGTCCAGACAGCTCTTGCAGAGGCTCCGCTGAATGCGGCCAACTACCTCTGTGGGGTTGTACTTGCGGGACAATGAATGCCCCCAACCGTAACATCCCCCCTACCTAGTATATTATCAACTCATCATATTTATTTATTTATTTTTGCCTTCCGACAATTGCAGATGTACCTCAGAAAACTTTCACTTAATGTCTCATACTCTACATGAATATTAAACCAATACGAAGTNTGTAGTGTCGGAGCAAAGGCCTCCTTGTAGATGTTATGGTCTTATTCTTTTAGTTCAAGCTCAGGATGGTAGCTTGGTTGTGAGCAGAGGAGGGCGAGTCCAGACAGCTCTTGCAGAGGCTCCGCTGAATGCGGCCAACTACCTCTGTGGGGTTGTACTTGCGGGACAATGAATGCCCCGAACCGTAACATCCCCCCTAGTATATTATCAACTCATCATATACTAACGCCTCATCCGGTACTTGTAACCAGAGGAATGGTAGAACTGCGAGGTTCTCCATCAACCGATATGCCTCGAAAGGGAACTATCCACCCGATACTTCACGCCGCCATCTCGTCTCTCTCTTTTCTCTGAGGGACAAACTTTCGACAAAACCCTCTCGTGAAGTCGTTGGCATGGAGAGCGATCTCCATGCCAGTGGAATAGACCGACCTTCCGCCACTGGCTATTAGTGTTATCACAATCATGACAGCGATTGCGACCAAGTCCTACAGGACCTACCAAGTCCACGCATGCACGCTTACACACAGTGGACGCACCAATCAAACATCGACTCGGTACCGCCTACCGAGTAGGAGCAAAGACATAGGCTCAAAAAAGTGAACCCCATCATCACGACTGAACCTCAAGAAACCTCATCCTCCGATAGCACCGAATTCACCAGAGACACCCAGACTTCACCATCCAAATAACAACACCAGAAAACTGCTTCCCCCCACCATGACATCAACGATGCGAATAAGCATGCGAACGACGGGAAAACTCCTTCCCCCNCACGACGGGAAAACTCCTTCCCCCCACCATGACACAAACGCAACCAATGAGTCCTGGGGTGCGACGAAGACGGTCTCCAGTGAAGACAACGTTATAGCTCCTGCCGCGCCATGTCTCCAGTTCTGGTTGCTGCCGCGCACCTGTCAGTAACGGTCTCGACAACTCTTGTCCCTGAAGCTTCAGCCTTCTGCTTTAGTCTCTGGAAGGTGAAACCTAAAGGGAGGCACTCCGAGTTTCACGGGCGGACGACGGCACACGCGGTGGTGCGGCTGGGAAGCTAGTTGCGGGTAGGGCAGATGTCACGCGCAATGTAGGCATCCAATCGCCATTCTACACTAGTTTGGGGAATAGCTTTACACTCCCACATCAAAGAGTCGAAAGATGAATGCACTCGGCGACAACCTGGTGGAGAGGCGAAGATTGCCTGTTCGGTCCATTCTATTGATATGGTTGATGCGAAACCACGCAACAAACGTTTAACGTCGTGACGGTTCTACGGCTCTCGACACGAGGAACAATAGGACTTGATGGAGCAAGAAGAAAATACTTGACATCTACAGCAAACTGGATACTTATTAACACGCGACATTTTCTTGGGTACTTCGCTTCGTGTGGCGGTGGCTGTTGTTGCTGATCTTCTCGCACCAAGGCTAAGCTGCTGTTCCTTGTCCAACGAGACTCATCATAACCTCCCCCCC